AAGTTCCTGAATATTCGATAGGTTAGAAAACTGACCTACTTTGAGAGATTCTATCGGGTTGTAGGACATATCAAGTTCAACGATACCCGAAGGAAGGGGTGGTATCTCCATAAGTAAATTTTGTTGAATGTTCAACTTTTTCAGTACGAGTGGAAGCTGGGCTTTCATTTGATTAAGGTTATTGTTGCTCAGTATAATTTCCTGCAAATCTGGAAGGTGTTTGAATGCATTCTGTGAGACTGCACTAATTTGGTTGCCGGAGAGGTCTAACATCCGCAATTTCTCACACCCGGTAAAATCGGTGTCTGATATCTTTGTTAGTTTGTTGTTAACCGCGGACAACACATCAAGATTCTCAAGACTGTGTAGCACACTACCTATTGCTAAAATGTTGTTGTTGTCCAAACTGAGCAGGGTCAGGTTTTTGAATGCCCTAAGCGCGGTGGGTTCGATGACGGAGATGTTGTTGTTCCCAAGCATGAGATGTATCGCACCTTGGGGACCCTGGAAGACGCCATCTTTGATGTCTCCGATGTTATTATCACTGAGTTCGAAAACGTCAGAATTTGGCATATTAGCGAAGGCCCCAGGTTGGATGGACATGATCCTATTCTTCTGCAGGTCAACTACCTGAGGAGAGTTGTTAACAGTCAACGTCTTATAGCTATGAAATATTTTTGCCAACACTATGTACACTTATTTACTCTTGAAATAAGACATCTGAGAGTTAATGTGTGTGATGTATAATTTTACTTGTATATGTAATTGTATTAGGCCAATGACAAGAGTGATATCCTCCTAGTGCCTTACTCGCAGATTATCCTTATGACTAGACCTAAAGTTACCTGTAGATTAGGCCTGGATGAGAAGACACCGGCGGGGATATCAGTGATGTTGTTCAGACTGAGGTGCACCTCCTTAAGTTTGTCGAGCCCACGGAAGACCCCGGCGGGTAACTCAGAGATTTGATTCCCTCCTGCCTCCAGGTCCACCAGGGTGGGAGTGTCATCAAACACCCCGACTTCGATCCTCTGCAGGCGGTTTCCGAACAGGTACAGAGACCTCAGTAGAGGAAGGCCCTTGAGATCGCCCTTTCTTACAATAGCGAGCTTCGTGCCTATAATCGGAAAGACACATTCATGATAGAGGGCATATGGCGGTGTATCACACCACCGTTGTATGTTTTTGGCCGTGGATGCTGAGCACCGTTCCCACCACTGCCCCTTGTTTAGGAAATTGCGTATGCATCATAGATATATTCACAGCGCATGTCACAATTCTGACCAAAAACAAACAATATTATGCCAATAATATATCGAGTATATATTTATCTGTATATCACTAACCTTGCATCTGGAGAAGCGTGGTGTTTTCCGGGATGCCTTGTGGAATGTGGTCTAGGTCAGGGGCATTACAGTGTACAGAGGAAACATCTTTGAAGCATTGACATTCGTCAGGACAAGCATGTGTGGACTGCACCACAACAGCAGCGACCATGACTAAAATGGCGGGAACCCAACTCCGAGTCGTCATAGTACCCTCTCGCCGAGTGAACCTGTTGGATTTGAACGCCATCATTAGGCTGACTCGCCCTCTGATATGAAGAAGAAGAAGAACTTTATTGCGCAACAGATGTAGCGGGTACAACGTATGGCAAAATATACATAGTTGGTGATGCTTACATACAAAGTTGGAACACATCTTATATTACTTTGCTGACAAAACAGCGACTATCGGCGACGTCGGAGTTTAAAGTGGTGATCAAGCCTGGGCAGTGGGCACTTTGACTAATGAAGTACTTGTAGTCAGCCCACCTTGTCAGTGTGGCAGCTTGATAAAGCAGTTCAGTAAAAAGACACACACCTACACCTTCATCTCATAAACTTTGTACTTAGTGCCCCCTAGCTGACCTGTGGCTAGTGTGCGCAGCCGAGGTCCGCGGCGGCCGGCGGTACAAAATACAGTTTTGCCTCTGTTTAACAGGGTTGGTGTGTCTAGCATCTGTAATGTACATTCAAGGCACTTGTTTGTAACGTACAGTGAAGTTTTCCTGTTGTTTTCTAGATTCCCGTCGTTTCCATAGTTTCCCTACCGTACTTTCTTTAGTTTTCCTACTTTTTGGCCGACTTTCCCCCTAGTTGTTCCCGCGCCCGCTAGTTTCCCTACATTCCATAGTTTTCCTGGTTTCCAAAAATAGAAAACTGGCAGTGAAACACTTTGCTCTGTCTAAATCTATTAATATAAAGCCAAGTATGTTCAAAACCGTTCAATAATGGATTTGGCATGCGTCATGACGTGCAGTTGTAGGGTGTGTGCTAGATGGCGCTCCCCATGGGGTTACGTCACCAAGTCATATGACCTCCACTCACATCTAAAGATGGCGGACAGTGAATTGTAGGTGAGTCACATTTTTCACAAATCTGTCAATTTTTTCGTCGCAAACGATGTGGATTATCAAGGCGTCAAGCCCTTAAAAGCATCCCCAGTGAATCCGATTGGCTGTTAGATGTGATATGAAGTAAAATATACAGATGAAGGCACTTCTATCCAAATATCTTTGCTCAGCCGCTGCCCGGTGATGATAGAAAATTTATTTTTTGTGGGAGGGTAAATGTAACACTACATTAGATTTTGATCATGGATGATATCTGTGTCATGCTTAAATTAAGCTACACAGCTGTTGTCTGCTCAGCCCTTTGTAAAATCATCTTACACAACGGTACATATTCTGACACACTAAATTCTGTGTAGGCCAGTCGACTTGCAGATTTTTAAGGGGGGGGGGGAGACAGGAAGAGGAAATGTCAGTATAATTTCATTTCTCCTTCTGTCGGAGCGCTCAAAAACAGGTAGTCGAAGTGGTAAGAATTTCTATCAAGCAAAGTTGTCACTTAGACTAAACCATTCTCATGATTATGGTAAGTTGTACCCGGTAGTCAAAAGATTATTGTTTCGTCTGTTATGGAACATCACAAAGGCTGCATACGAAGTTATTGAAGATGATTATATTATACTAGAAAGGCCGACATTTGCTTGAGAGCAAATGCAGCAGATGGCTTCACCACATCCCCCATACCGAAAATGGATCTATCCTACGATGGCTGCCAATAGTCTACACCCCCATGCAGTAATGGAACCTTCCAATACCAGAAATAGCCAAAAAGCCCTATTTTACATAACTTTAAAGTGGTGTATGTCAAAATCGAGAATGACATTCTTTGAACATGTGTCCAAGGTATCCCCATACCAAAGTTCAGGTCATTCGGATTTAATATTAGGGCACAGGAGCCAAAAATGTACAAAAATGTACCGAAAATAGCCAAAAAGCCTTATTTTTCCCAATTATAAAGTGGTGTATGTCAAAAGCTTGAATGACTTTTTGTAGACATATGTCCAAGGTATCCCCATACCAAATTTCAGGTCATTTGGTTTTAGTACCTGGGAACCAGATCTCAAAATGTATATTTTTGGCCTGAAAATGGCCAAAAAACCCAATAAAACAATTTTTCAAAAAAATGAAAAAAACGCGTCAGGGTATTTTGCCCCACTCTACCTTCATGCCAAATTTCGTGTTATTTGGCCTGAAAATGGCAGAGATGAATCCATTTAAAGAAATGGCAGGAGAAGGAGGAGAAGGAGAAGAAACATGGGGAACACAATATGTCTTCACCACTTTGTGGTGAAGCCATAATAAACTAGAAAGGCCAATATTTGCTTTGGAGCAAATATAGCGATGGGTTCACCACATTTTACCACATGGCAGGGAAAGAATGAGAAACACAAGGGAAAACAATGCTTTACATTGATATAACTATAGTATGAAGTAACATACAACTAAGACTACAACAGTTGGATAGCTATTCCCTACATTATTGGTTAGGATTGCATAATGCAAACTGTTGATTTTCAAGATAAGAAGAAGCGTTCATAGCCCGCATTCCAATGCTGGAGCAGGAAAGCTTAAAATACCTACCAAAACACTTGAATACAGACATACTGTCAGTATGGCATGGCTCTGTGCAGGTGTAAATGAAGTTAAGCCAGTTAAATCCCAACAGCCAATCAGCAAGGAGAATAGAGGAAAGCTGCATGCCTATTGGTTGATGCCTTGCATGCCATTGTGATGACTCATGTCCAAATGTGGTAAACACTGCACACTTACACAGT